AGCAAAACCTAGAATAAGTTATGTGTTTGTAGCACTAGGTCCCATGTTCCTGATGATCAGTTATAGACTCTCTGAATCTAAAATGCTAGACTGACATATAACTTGTTCCTATGACAATTTCAACTTGAGAAGACATGCGGATATTTGAAATCTTGCAAGATTTGTTTGTTTTTTCCAAAGGGTAATAGTATTTTCTTTCCAAAGCAGGCAGATTGTCCTAAATCAGGTTATCACAGTTTCGCTCTCCATTTGTTCTTCAAGGCAAGCTTTTCTAAGTTGTGAGAAGTGCACTTTTCATTTAAGTAGATTATACTGTAGCTTCTCATTAATCTTTGAGACTAGAATAGTATATTTTTAAAATGTGCCTCCTTGTTAAATAGACACCATGACAGTGTTTGCACAGTGTATCGTTAACCTCCCGTGGAAGGTTAAGCGGCTGCCTCTGTATCTAAATCTGTTGCTGTGAGAAATGACGGGCAGTGTTGCACCCACCTATCGGGGAATGGGGGGAGCTCAGGCTTGCACCTGTGGGATTAGGTGTAGCAGCAGGAAGCAAGAGCATTTACAGCATATAATTAACAAGGATTTTTTTTTCTCTTTTTTAAAACAGCATGTTCACCGCACTAGGTGAGCTAGTGATTAACAGTTGAAAAAAAAGTTGCTGGAGTCTGCACCCCTACTTACACTCCTTCACTCACCGGTGCATTCTATTACTTTTGTAGCAGTCAGAGGAACTCGCCTCGCCAACCTTCATTTCCTTCACTATGTATTGATTTCTTTGAGAATTTTTCTAGTTGGTTTTTTTATGTGTGTGTGTGTGTGTGTGTGTGTGTGCCCTTTTAGTGCAGTTTTGTTAGCCAAATTCTGTTTTCTGAATCAAATTAGAAGTAACTTAGGGACTCCTATTTGATTTAGAAACGACTGCCCTAATGTTTATTAGGTGGGAAAGTTAATGCATAGTGATCTGTGGCTCTCAGAGGTTCAAATGGGAGCATGAAAAAAAAAAGCATTTACTCTCTCTAAGTGGTATTTAGTACCGAGTGTGCTTGCTGGGTGGCTTTTAATGGTTATTTCCTCATCTTCATTAGGAAAACTATAATTTAATTACCAATATAGAAAGGATTCGTAAACATAGCTCTCTAGAATAAAACCTTCTTGATACAAACTCATCCACATGCACAGCGGTTAACGTTTCACAGCTGCCCCTTCGCTGAGGTCGGTGGGCAAGTTTGGTGGGCAGCCACCGGCGCCAGAATTTGTAGCGATATTCTGTCTCCGCGATGTTGTCATGTGCTTTCTTTTCATTTACACCCAAAAAGACAAAAACTTAACGGAATGTGTTCAGTTTGTTGTTGTTGTTGTTGTTGTTGTTGTTGTTGTTGTTGTTGTTTTTCAACTCAACTTCATTTCCTAACAAGATAGCATGTAATTATGGAATTAGATGCAGTGACTTCCAAAGTATGTAAATCTTGCTGCCATAAAACAGTCTTTGCACGAAGGAGCCGCTGAACCAGCGATAATGTTTTCTATCCAAACACATTTGTCCTATAAGTAGAAACTGTTTAAAAGGAAAATTACATCTCTTCAGCAGTTTATCAGAGATAATTACCCTTCATACAGCAAAGGAAGGAGAAAGTGTTTTTAAAGAACTATAATTCTAATTGGCAAATGTCACCAGCTGTTGCAGCTACTCTTACTTGTGTGTATTCTTTTAATGAATATATCTCATGCCACAAGCCACATGAAAATATATTCACTAGGTGTGAAATTCCCATATGTCAAAGTTTCAAAACTAGGTAAACAGCTCAAAGAGAAAGGAGAAAAAAATAATGCTAATGAGGACCGTAAGAATTCTAGGTTTGTTTTCCAGGCAAGTTGATCTTAATTTGCCAAAAGGGGAGAAAATGTAATTTCAGAAAGAAAAACACAGAAACACTTACTTGGTTGAAATAAACTTTTAAGTTAGCTTTACCTCACACTCTCAACCAGAGATTCTCATTTCCTTAGAAAGTCGTAGAATTTTCTCAGCTCACAGATGTCTGTATCACGTGTCTGGGGTCTGCCAAAGAGAACAGCATTTCATTTTCTCTTGGACCTAAGCTATAAATGGTTAGTTTTAGATGGTAGAAGATAAACTCTTCCTGGACAGTGTTTCATGATGTCTAATGTTATCTTGAAAGTGATCAAGGAGATAAAAAATACCTTAGAGTCTACGGCAAGTGTTTAAAGCCATTATTCTCCAGTCCTCATGGCTATGACTTAGTTTCCAGTGAGCCTGATGGGTCAAGTGGTTGACTAGGTTCAACTTCCAAGCATACTCTTCCTTTGAAAGACAGAAATGAAAATGGGGTTGGTGGGGGGAAATAATGGAGAAGGTAAGTCTCCATGTGTGTATTCTTGAACTGCTACTTTACAGGGCTGTTCCCAACCCCTCAGTATCATATGCATCGTAGCATTTTGTTCCCAGGCACCTGCCTGCAACTCCAACACTGAGCTAATGTGTTATGTATAGAAAATTGTTCTCATGTCATTTTCATTCTACAGTGGTGTGTGTTCCGAATTTTTTCCTTTTTGGTATCTTGACAAAGTTTGAGGGCATGGACAGAAACACTTATGAATGAGTTGTCCTCACATATTTATTGGTAGTCAGTAATCTTTCTACGAATCACCCTGCCTCTTCATTGGAAAAACTGATATATAAACACCCGCACACCACAGAAGAAAGCAACCTAGGTTTCGCTTGATTGTCTTTGTAGTTATTTCAACTTTTAAACATTGTTTATGAGAATTATGCAGGAAAATAGTGAAGGAATGAATTTTGTAACTTGCTGCCAATATGCTTGGAATATAATTACCTACATTGTCAATAGAAGCTCTTGAAGGAGAGACATTTATATAGCTGTTTCAAATTATAACTGAAAACTAATTTTATTATATCAGGGTTATGTTTGAATGGATCCTTGAATTTGTGTGGTGTATATTTCCCTTTAGGCTAAATAGAAAAGCAGTAAAAACTTGTGATGCTCATTACCAAGAAATAACTTTGTTACCAAAAAATCAAAATTTTACTAATGAGATATGCTCATTGCCTGTAATGTGCCCTGGTTAAGAGAGAGAGAATTTTATCATTGTATATAATATATGCTCCCCCCCCCAAAAAAATTAAGTGGTAAGAACTTTTCTTCATTTTTAAGGAGAAGGCACTACCAACTGTCTTAACATCACTCAGATGTATACCTTGAGTTGTTTTCCCACAGCATATGCCTCATTTAACTATTAATGTTTAATAAGTTAAAACCTTATTAAGTATTACTTAATAGTTAAATCATCCATATCTTTTCTCACCTACTTTCCTTGCAGTACTTACTTTTGCAAAATGAGTTTGTTTATAGAGGTCACTAGAGGCCCGATGCACAAAATTCATGCAAGAGTAGGCCTTCCTTCCCCTGGCTGCTAGCACCAGCTTTCCTCTGGCACCCGGACCCGGGCTTCCCTTGCAGCCCTGGCTTCATCTGGAAGGATGTCCAGTCTAATTAGCATATTACACTTTTATTATTATAGATAAGTGCATTCTGTGGATATGAAATGATGCAAGTCTAACTTATTTGGCATCAATTCTATAATTTAGTTATTACTAATGCCATATACTAATTGAATAAGTAAATCAACATAGGTTATGACTCAACCCCAGGGGTGGATCATACAAATAAACATTTTTATTAACTGTTCAGCTATGTGAAACTCAAGGAAGAACTGAAGCCTAGAAGGAAAACTCTTGAGGGGCCTTCAGGTTTTGTCCCTTCCTCGTACTGATTTTATAGCAAGAAGGAATCATATTAACTGCTCTATCTCCTCTAACACCAAATGTTGGATAACTTTGGAAAGTTATCTAATCCACACCTTTGGATCTTTATCAATACTCTTATCGCATTTCTAAAATAAAATAAAACCTTGAGATAGTGTCGATAAATGTAAATTAATAGAAGCAATGGATAAACTCAAAATTTTGCTTTATGTTTCATTTTGTAATGCATTAAATGTTTTTTGCCCAGTATCTTCCTAGTAAGGTTTTATTCAGGTTAGTAAGAAAATTTATTTTGTATTCCTTAAGTACCCATACTTGAGGAAGGCAACCAAGGAAAGCTAACATATTTATTTTATTTTTTTAAATATATTTTATTGATTTTTTACAGAGGAAGGGAGAAGGATAGAGAGTTAGAAACATCGATGAGAGAGAAACATTGATCAGCTGCCTTCTGCACACCCCCCACTGGGATGTGCCCGCAACCAAGGTACATGCCCTTGACCGGAATCGAACTTGGGACCCTACAGTCTTCAGGCCAATGCTCTATCCACTAAGCCAAACCGGTCAGGGCAACATATTTATTTTAATAGATGTGGATCAATCTCCCAAAGATGATGGAAAACAAATTGTATTTGAAATTGGGAAATGATTATTGCATGTGGGAATTTTTTGAAAAAGTTGACCTTTTAAGATAGCCTTTTTAAAAAAATTATCATCCAAGGATAAATTTCTATTGATTTTTAGAAAGAGAGAGAGAGAGACAGACATTGATGTAAGCAATAAACATTGATCGGTTTCCTCCCATATGTGCTTGGCTGGGGATAGAACCCACAACCTAGGTATGTGCCCTGCCAGGGAGTCAAACCCGCAGCTTTTTTGATGTACTGGATGATGTTCTCACCAAAGGCTCAAGATAGACGTTTTAAAAATATATATCTAGTTTACAACCACATATTTCTAATCATTTTAGTAATGATGAATAACTATGACCTCAAGTTATAGACATCAGTGATAAACTTTTATTTACTTTAATTGTGGAGTTTACTGAGGGTGCTCACTGTTCATTTGGGCTTGAGCATATTTTTCTGGAGCAGTTTTTGAAATGATTAGTGAATAATTTCCGGGGTTGTGATTAAATATTTTTGCAATTAAGGTCTGATATTATTTTCTTCGCCATGCTTTTCCCTCACCACAGAAACCAGGAATGGATCTGGCAGACACCTATATTATGTTTGTTCGGCAGAATCAGGATATTCTTCGAGAAAAGGTCAATGAAGAAATGTATATAGAAAAGTTGTTTGATGTAAGTAACTACTCTGCAAGGTGTGCTGGCATTACAGATGCTCTGAAGGGAAAGTTGCCTTTTGATGTGTTGGCAAAGCAGACTCTTCCATATATATATATATATATATATATATATATATATATATATATATATATAAAATATATATAATTTTTAATAAAATATATATTTATATATATTTTAAAATATATATATATTTTAATGATTTCATAGAGGAAGGGAGAGGGAGCGAGATAAGAGATAGAAACATCAATGATTAAAGAGAATCATTGATCGACTGCCTCCTGCACACCCCACACTGGGGATCAAGCCTGCAACCTGGGCATGTGCCCTGACCAGGAATCAAACTGTGACCTCCTGGTTCATAGGTCAATGCTCAACCACTGAGCCATGCTGTCTGGGCTAGACTCTCCTTTTTTGATCCTTTTACTTCCATGCAGCTAATATCATTGACAATTTTAATTCTTTGCTGATGGAAACCTTAATTGGCTTCTCTTTGCACATGAAAACTGTCACTGTTAGAAAGAGCGTCTCAAAGCCCTTCTGAAGTGAATTTTAACAAGCGAGATGATCATCAGTTTACCACTGTGTCCAGCGTCATTTCACTGGCCTCTGCAGGGCTCCATACACAGGATCCGATTGTAATGGACGTGGGCCTGCCCTAAAAGTTGTTTTAAGTCAGTGAAATACTCTTCAGGCAAACAAAGAAATAAGCTGCAGTGAAGGCAGATACCTGTTGTTGAACGTTTTGACCTTGACTGACAGTGCTGATGTGTGCTAACGGGTATAATAGTGCAGCTTTGTCAGTAGGAAGGTCTTCACTGACGCACAACAGCTCCTAGAAATGGGGGATTGGGACTTTTAAAAAAATATATTTTTATTGATTTCAGAGAGGAAGGGAGAGGGAGAGAGAGATAGAAACATCAATGATGAGAGAGAATCATTGATTGGCTGCCTCCTGCATGCCCCACACTAGGGATCAAGCCCGCAACTCGGGCATGTGCCCTAAACTAGCATCGAACCAGAGACCCTTCAGTCCACAGGCCTACACTCTATCCACTGAGCCAAACCGATTAGGGAGAGGACTGGGACTTTAAATCTCATGATCCTTGAGCCATTTCTTGAATATCTGTAAAGGAGACTAAGAGAGCAGTCCATTTCAGTAACAATGTTGTCATTCATCTGTAATTATTCACAGCCAGTCCAAAGGAAATGCTACTTTGCTTGTGACATAACTGTCTGTTCGCCACAAGGCTGATTCTGAAATGTAAGATTTGCTTTGAACTGTATTTATTTATGTACATCTCTGCATTTTAGAAATGCTTTCTGGCAGTTTCATTTAATTATGCGAGCTACAGCAAATGTTTTCATAACAGCAATTCACGGGCTTCGTGGTGACACGTCAGCTGTGGCACTTACGGAAGGTCCTGCTACGTCATCGTCCCGCCCTGTTCTGCCCTGTCAGGGTCTCTGTTTGTCAGATTGGGTGGTCAAAACGAGTCTTCTCTTTCGTGCTTTATGTGTCTAGCCTGTACCCAGGCTGTTTTACAATAAAAGTATCATCTGTTTTAATAAGCTAAGTGTTAATATGTGTGAAAAGAATGATTTCCTAAAAGCTTTGATGCCCTGCAGGGGTAGAAAAATTGTCATCCATCCAGCTGGCTCTTTTACAAAATACTGAAACCATATTAGCAACTTCTGCTTCCATTTGGTCTTGCTTTGAATTGACAAACATATGCTTCACTTCCTAGTTCTCTTGCTTTTTTTTTTTTTTTTTTTTTTGCTTATGTGGTAATTTTCAAAAATGTGAAACAGAAGAGGAAAGTTGAATTACTGTTATTCCCTTTATGTTTCTTTTTAATCTAGCTAAAGCACATAGTCTGTGGTGAAGAAGGGTAGAGTTATTCTGGAAATAGGCCATTGTAGGCGTGTGTGTGTGTGTGTGTGTGTGTGTGTGTGTGTTCTTAGCATCTTCAATTTGTTGTCTTGGTGACCTATTTATTGCAAAGCTTGCTATCACTTCATAACTTTATAGAGGTAGAATTCTTTATCTATAATGATATTCCCCACTTCAATTCCACTTTATTCGCCAAACTTCTTTTGAAGACTGTGTTAACAATAACAAATGAAACTAACTAAAGTGGACACAAGAAAGCCAACATTAAAATGATGTGCTATTTACTTGTCCCAGCTATAGATGGTTTCCTCTCAGTGCCTAAACCCCTGACCTGGCTGTGGGTTTGCTTCTGAAAGGAGCCCTGGACAAGCAATCATTCTGGTTTGGGTTGGGAAGGTTCTGCCATTTTGCAAACCCCCCGTAGAACATTGGACTTGTTATTTGTAAAATAGTTAAATGTCCTTAAACGTTCTAATATTTTTAAGTTTCACATTTTCATTATTGTAATTAAAAAATAAAATAGACTCTAATTCTATTGGTATGTCATCAAGAATAACATGTATAAGGGGGTACTAAGAGCCCTTAATTAGCCAAGACTGAATTCGCCTCAATTGCAGTTAGTAAATGAGAGGTTATCAAGTATGTGTTGAAAGGTAGTGTAAAATGTGTATCTTAAGCAACAGATCATTACTGAGAAACATTATATAATTATTGGAAATCCACGTGGCTGGAGCTTAAAATAATATTGTTCAGTGTTAAGAAACAGTTGAAAATAATGACCCTATAAATACTGTTAGCAACATTAGTCTATTACAGATAAAAGATTGAAGAGAACAATTTTATTCAGGCATCATGACAAACTTTTGATATTCTAATTAAAGTACCTTCTGAGTACCAAAGGAAATTAATCCTCTTAACACACCCACGTGTACACACACACACACACACACACACACACACACACACCCCAAATCCTGAGATGTTAAAACTAATAGTATCCTTTGAAGATCAAAAAAAAGTTGATAATATGCTCTACCTGGTTTGGCTCAGTGGATAGAGCGCAGCCTGCGGACTGAAGGGTCCCAGGTTCGATTCCGGTCAAGGGCATGTACCTTGGTTGTGGGCACATCCCCAGTAGGGGGTGTGCAGGAGGCAGCTGATCCGTGTTTCTCACTCGTTGATGTTTCTGACATCCTCTCCCTTCCTCTCTGTAAAAAAAATCAATAAAATATATTTTTTAAAGTTAATAATAGGACAAATATCAAGACATTCTACTTCACTCCATAAGTGGTTAAACTTATAAAACACTTTTGCTTAAAACAAATGACTTCAAAAATATATAATTTATGGCAGCCCTATGCTGTTAATAGAAGGAACCAACTTCAATTAGGTACATCCCTAATCTTTTCAAATTATCAAAAAGTAATAATAGCCTTAGCTATCACCACTACTATTCCTGGGGTACCTCCTGGTACATGTGCGGGGTGCTTTACCTATAGTATCATTTCTAACCTATAGGCTCTATGCCATCATCTCCATTTTATCCTCGTTTTCCATCTAAGGAACCTCCCATTCAGAGAAGACAAGTGACGTAAGTGTTGAATCAGACTTTGAAACCTTGTGTCTCTAGTTTCAAAGTCCATGCTATCTCTACCATAATTCATTACTTACAAAATTTGAAATGGTCAATGTGTTGTGGAAAGAGGGTTAGACCAGAAATACAGAAACCTGAATTTCAGCCACAGTTGTGCCATTAATTGTCTGAGTGAGTTTTAAGAAGTTATGTCACCTGTGTGAGGCTGAGTATAGTTAGTACACATGAACTGAAAAAGTTGGTCTAGAATCCCAGATGATTTCTGAAATCGCGTCCAGATTTTAAACCATCTAAATTAAATTAGTTCTAATTTTAGAAATGGCTAACATTGCTGTGTTGTTTGCATGCCAAGTCTTCCACCCCTAAGATTAGCAGTTGTTTTTATTTTATTTTTTGGATTTTTTTTATTCTTACATAAGGATATATTTGAGAGAGAGAGAAAGAGAGAGAGAGAGAGAGAGAGAGAGAGAGAGAAAGCATTGAGGTGAGAGAAACATCGATCGGTTGCCTCCTGTGATTGGAATGGAACCCACAACCTTTTGCAGTATGTGAGGACTCTCAACCAACTGAGCCACCGGCCCAGAGTAGCAATTCTTAAGATTTTCTGTGATGACCAGGTGAAAGCAGGGTATCCCACACGAGAAGCAAGAGCAAGTGCAGTGGATAAGAAGGTAGAAAAGAGATTCTATATAAAAAAAAATCTGTGCCATCTGACATTCTATGTATCTGCCACCATGGTCTGAATCCCAGATTTGGAAAAGAGTTGGAACTCACACATTCTGTATTCATGCTAAGTGTTTCTGAGTGACCAGAATATTTTAAACAGAGGCTGTCTCTGCCTCTCTAGTAATCACTGGTACCCATGCCATGGTAAGCTTAAAATCTACATGCTAAATTTACTTTTTCAATTTAAAAAAAGTATCTGGGTAAGAGAAATCTTTAAGGAAGTTTTCCTGTAGTGGGAGAGATAATAGATTCACCATAAGGTTGTTCCGCTTTGTAGGTGATCTCTCTTACCCCGTGTCCTTTTTTTCCTTTTAACATAAAATGTCAATGTCAGTATAGTAAAACCTCAAAATAACGGACTAAATCAGGCGAGGGGGTGTCCGTTAAGGCCGAAAGTCCATTATATAGTAAAAGTAGGTTTTCTGAACGCATATGTTAAAAATTGACAAGTTGGTTCATTTACCTGTTTTTACTTATGTTGACACATTTGTAATTAAAATTAAGTATGAAGGTTTTATTTCACAGAAGAGTTTTCTATATGCATTGCTGTGATGTTAAATTTATACTGAATAGATGTAGTAAATGCACACAGGTCAGAGGGGCACTTTAGTCAACTTCAGTCAACCCCTCGGTGTTGTAAGATTCTCAGGTGCATTCACCAGTCTCAGTGAGTCACCAAGTGCGCGGGCTGGCGTGAGGCTTAGCGCACGTGGGAACATTGGCCACAGGTGTTAAAACTGCTGCAGAAAGTCATGCCTCGAGACAACAGGATCAATCACCCCA